CTGCTCATTTCCGGGCTCACTTTGGTGTGTTTGTTAAAGCATGGTATTGTCAGATCACAGGGAGTATCTCATTTTCATTTCATATCTCCAATTCTAAAGGGGATTAAATTATCCAATTAAGCTGTTCATTAAAAAGACTCCTACAGAATAAGCTACAGGCTACCAATGGCATTTAAATTTTTCATTATGCTGTGCTCAAAAGTGATTTTCTAAATGCAAAAGAGTTCAAAGTTACTGCTCTTTCACTTTAGAAGGTGCGGCAGATATTGCTAGCCAGTAGCCAAACCCATTTCCTCTTCTTTCAGGCACAAAGCTGGACTATGTGTCCCAGCTTCCCCTGCAGTTAGGCTTGGACATAGCACTGAGCTCTAGCCAATGGAATATGAGTGGAAGTGATGTTGACAAGCTCCAGGACTACCCCAAATCTTCCACTCAACATCTTCCATGGCCTTTTCCCCTCCGCTGGCTTCTTGCAGACGAGCATGTGCTGAAGATGGTAGAATCACAATATGGAAGTAGCCTGGGTCCCTGAATGATCAATAGGAGAAGACAAGTTGGCCGTTCATTAACACCCATTTTGTATGTAATGAAAACAAGAAATAAACTGAAATTGAATTAAGCCACTGAGATTGTCTATTTCAACAGCCAGTGTGGTCTTTCATAATTAATAAAGAAAGTGCGTGAACTTGAGGGTCATGCAAATACCTTAAACCTAATTGGAAACATTAGGCTCCCTCAAGTGTTGATCAGGACCACTTAGTTATGTATCTAAGCACCTGAGCAGACTTAGCATGTCTTGGGTCTCACAGACTTCTTGCCTCCATTTTTTCAAAGCCCCTCCTTCCTGTCCACATCCCAGAGATCACTCATAAGCTATTATTTCTATACATCTTGCTTTTTGCCACATCCTCTACACACAAATTCTTATTTCGAATGTCAGCTCAAAAGTAAACTCTCCAAGAGGGGCACCAACAATCCATATTCAGCCACTTGTTACCCATCAGCTCTGTATCACCTCTGATGTCTATTTCCTCTACAAAATGGTACGGCACACCTACTACACAAATGGGCTTGCCTAGGACCCTGTAAGCCAGTGCTTTTCCAAATCTTATGCCAGTGCTAGAAAGCTGTTCAAAATAATCAACAAGGAACTCTACTTGCACTCCCAGCCTAACCCATAAATGCCCCCTAGATAAATTAATATGGATTTGATGGTATGCCTCTGGATTTGTCTGGACTCAGGCAAAGGAGTCGGGCTTTCATAGTCCTGAAACCCCCAGGCACTTGCAATTCTCTGAAAGTACACTGGGCAAAGGGGCTCCAGTAACATGAGGACAGCCACTCTCTAGAGTGGCAGCATGCTAGAAGCAAAGCACACAGAGGGAGCACCGACAGTGTCCACTAGAGAAAAGTTGGATAATTCCTTCTCTGCTCCACACAACTGATGTATTTGTCTGTCATCACACTTCTCACTATGATCATTGTAACAATTCATATACCTGTCTCTCATGTTAGACCCAACTGTTCACTGAAGTCCAGAAATTAGATATTAGCCACCTAAATACATTGCTTTAAACATAATGGGTGTTCAGTTATTGTGTGTTGAATAAATGACTGTAAATTGACTAGACTGTGAAAGAGTGGTAATAGCACATGGAGATACTTCGGTTTGATAGTTTTTCAAAACCAGCCCTATTATGGTTGATCGTTTCCTCAGAGGCCTCTCTTTTCCAATAGAAATTGTTGCAAAGGCAATAAGCCACAGTTGCTAACTTACATTCTGGAAGAAAAAACATTGACCTCCTTGGAAATCTCTCATTGTCTATGGAGAAAGTTACTGCAAATCCCAATTTTCCAAACCAAGAAGGCCAGTCTACTACAGTGCTTTGTAGTCATATTTTTGGTGCATAATAGTGTCTGAAACAGAACTGAATATTAGTCGATGTAATAGGTTTTAATATTTTAAAAAAGGAGACAAACAGAAAATCTTCAACCAACTTTTTATTGTCCTTAAAATATTTGTTCACATTGTTTCATGAGTAGGGGAAGAAAATACAACCAAATGAGTCTCACGATGAACATTTAGATATAAAATGCATAATCCAAGAGCATCTTTCTTCAAACCAGTGGGGCATTGACACTGGCAATGAGAATGTTGTTGTGTGAAATAACCATATATTCTTCCACAGTTTAATATGTAACCGAGGCATTATGCTAAAAATATCAAGGAAGAAGCTTATCAAATACTAAATGATAAGAGAAATGCTGAATGAATAAGTGTGTTTAGAAATACGGTAGTCAAAGGGATGCAGGTTAATCCAAAAGCCAATAGCCCAAAGTGCAGAGGCTCTGACTTTCCTGACACTGGGCTACTTGACAAGCTATTTCATATTCTCCACTCCTCTGGCAGGAGCATATCCTGTCTGGCAAGCCATAGTTCCTAGTTGCTTCTTAGTGATGCTCCAGGGCTAAATGAGAGAAAATTTATGTGCTCAGCTTTAAGCTCCATTGAGGAAAGGCACTAAATAAACTTCAGGATAGTTTATGAATCCTGAGCTTGCATTAGTCATGTCCAAGTCCATCTCATAAAAGGAAAAAATGGAAATAGAAGGCCAATTCTGGGTGCTTGGTGAAAAGCTCAACAAACTTTGCGCAAGGGTGATTAACCCAGACAATACCACTTTATATACATAAAATCCTTGACCAATCCAGGAGAGTTTCACAAAAACCTAACTCCTTCCAATGCCCAGACAATAGTTCACTGGTAGAACATCTGGTATATGAATCAGAGAAGTGTGTTATGGCATCCCTAGTCTGAGATCTAGTATCTAATTTCCTTTTAATTTACCATGATTATTTTTGTAAAACTTCATGGCTCTACTCCAGGGGATGTATATAGCAAGGCTGCCAAAATCCTGTCTTCTCTTCAGAACCACATTCTTAGGCCGGCTTCTCTATATTTTCTTCCCTTCTAGCTGCATTTTACCTTCTTCCTTCTACCACTTAATCAGTGTCTGTTTCTTTTAGCAATCTGGGCTGATGAGGAGGGATAAGAACGTGATTTGAAGATTGAGACATGAGCATGTTGGAAATCCAATTCTACTAGAAAATTGTTATAGCTTATAATGATGATCTGATACTGCTGCTTTGGGTTTGTTTTTTGTTTTATTTTGTTTTGAATAATGGCCATCCTACCTACAACGTTCAGCAAAACTGAGTTCCATCAAGTAAAGTTAATCAGGACAAGGTAACAGCATCATGTAGAAACTGTGAGGGTCCCAACTGATCACCAACCAGTTTTCCCAAATCAGCAAGTGACTTAATGATTTCCATGTCCAAAGTCATAATTCTATGCCTTCATCAAACACTTTCTCTGACCTGCAGAATGTGTTTCTTTGGAGTTCAAAAAGAAATAAGAAGGAAAAGGCTTCATATAAGCATGACAAACCTCGACTGATTTTAAATGCCCATGTGCAGGAATAAAACAAGGAGTATCTTATGTGTCTAAACCAAATCAGAATGATTCCTCCAGGGAAAAGGCACATTAATTTCCAGCGCCCCTAATCTAATATCACTTGTTTTTCAAAATACAAACTAAGGTCACATTAAGCCACAGTTAAGAGGAGGGAAAGGTAGCTGCCCTTCAGGAGTGTATCCATTTGGAGAGGAGGAAGTCAAGGGGAAAATCACTCTCCTCTGGCTAACACAGTGTAATTGTTTTCCTCATGATGGGGCCCCTCCATTTTTTCTCCCTTCAGAAGTTCCCATGGTTACAAGAAGACCTGGCACACACTCGTGCATATCTATATTTAAAAAAAGGATAACATCACAGAAATGCAAAATGGTCTCCTGTGTTTAGTCTGAGTTTGTCATTTTGCTTTTGAGATTCTCCTATTGCCCCACTTCCTCATGTACAATGAATAATGTGAAAAGGGGGAAATATCTATTTTAAGAAACTGGAAATGCCAGGTAATTGCTTTAAGGCCATTAAGATTTTATCCTCCACACATATTCATAAGAGATAGAGGAGTTCACTTAAAAGGAAAAAGCTCTGAGGATCAAACACACAGTGCCACTCTTTCTTCCAGACTCTTAGACTTGAAGAGTGCAAATTATGTTTCTTTGGACTACACAGGAATTTTAAATTTTAAATTCTAAAATGTCTTCAATCACGAACTTTTTCAAAAAGATTTTCTAAAACAGAGGTAACATCAAACAAGCTGAAACAGAAGGGCACTTTGCTTCCTCCTCGGGGTAGTGTGCGTCCCTTTGCACTAAAGGGACACGAAAGCCATGTGTTCCTAATGGGGAATTAGAAAATCATTTTCTCAGTGCCTGCTCATTTCAGGAACAAGAGAACGCGCATATAGGAGGGTAACAAGACAGACAGGAATTAGGCTAAAGAAAAATGTCTGGGCTAGAGCTCTCTCCAGCAGACAGACATAACCACCAAGGTTTGGACAGAGTAGATAAAATTGTAGAGATTACATCTCCTAGTTTCCCTGCTTCTGCGTGACTAGGAGCTTTGCTTCTTCCGGGATTTGAAGGTATATCCCTTTTTCTATTTGATAAGCTCAATTTCTTTACCAAGTAGCCTTTCTGCCAGCTTCATTCATGCTGACTTGAACAGGGCAATTAGCTACATCCGACACAAGTTGGGAGGCACGTTTCCAGTCCAATAGGACTCAAATTGAGGGCAAGAACTTCAACAAAAAAATTGAAAAGTGAAGAGCTAAAATATCTCTAATTTATCTTAGAGGTTAAAAATGCTGTATAATACTGTACATAAAATCTAGCACCGTATTCTACAGAGCAGTAGACCTCCAGAGTATCTATACACATGTCTTCGTCATTGAGGGTTACCAGTTTAATAGATGATTGAATTTTTATGGATGCATTCTATTCAGGCCCCCTGCAAAGCTGTAGATTAAAATGGTATGTGCCACTTAGCTGTGCCTAACCCACTAAAATGGACAATAGCAACAATTCAGCAGATAGCATTTTAACAATAGTAGCCTAGGGATTTATTTTTGTTGGTTTGGTTTTCTAAAGCAGCAGACTTGGTGCATTTCTCATATTCTGTTTTTTAAGTCCTAGAACTTTGAACAGATACTGTTTAGATCCAAGCAGGTCCCTTATCCAAATACTGATAATGCATTAAAAATAAAAGTTCTCAGGGAATATAGGCCTGAAGCAGTGGGAGCTGAATGCTCGGTGCAGCATCTAATGGCACTGTTCAACTTGCTCCAGATGGCAGAAAGCAGAGGCCCAGCTACCAGAGTCGGCAGGAGTCCATGCCCCTGTTCATCGTGGAATTGAGTGGACAGTTAAAAGCTTTCTGGAACTCTTCAAAGTTGCTAATTGCACCATTGACTCTGAAAAAGATATGTCAAAGTCCATGTCATTTACTTTTTATATACCAACAGGTTCTGAATAGAATCGGAGCAGTGTGTTGCAAGAAGGGATATTGGCCTTGTGCTGTGTAAAGGAGAGACAACTGAAGCTCAAAATGGTTAAGTAAATTTCCAAAGAAATAAACAGAGCTGAGACCAGAACCACCTGAATGCCAGGTAAATGTTCCTACTACTCTGCCTATTATGTTAAATTCCCATAAAACTGTATTATCACCAATACTTAGCTTTTCTAACTATTTTTTATGGAAGGTATAACTTACATACAGTAAACTGCACAAAACTTAAGGGTAGGGCTCATTCATTTTTTCATGTGTATATACGTATGTTACTACCACCTAGATCAAGACATAGAACATTTCCAGCATCCAGAAGTTTCCCTCATATCCCCTACCAATAGTATCCACAAGGATAACCACTATTCTGACCTTTATTGCCACAGATTAGTTTTGTCTGTTTTTGGACTTCATACATATGGAATCATACCACATATATACTCTTTAGTCTCTGACATCTTTCACTCAATTTTATGTTTGTAAGATTAATCCACGTTGTTGCATTTCCAACTATTTTTAAAGAATTCATTCAATCTATAGAAATACTTTCTCAAAATTCTTATTAGGTTTGGAGGGTCATATTTACCTAGAATTTGGTTCATGCAACAATCAACTAATGAATGGTAGCTAGTTTGTATCAATGAGTAATTCTTTAAGAGGAGTTACCTCCAAAATCTGATATTCGTGCCAGTTCCTGACTGCAGTAAAGACTTCAGATTCCTACTCAGCACTTTGATTGTAACTGCCTTTTGGAAGTGGTATTTCCATTGTGTGATTTCCACTGCACTCAAAATCTATAGTTACTGCAGACATCAGTAACAAGTCAGGCAAAAAAAAAAGTTCCCCCTCATCTATTTCTTACTCAACTGCACGGTCAAAGGATTGACTAAAGACTCAGTATTCTCAGTCACTATTTCTTCCCTGTGATTTTGTTACCTGCGGGCATTTGAATGAACAAAATGCCTTGTATCCAAAAAATCTTCCTAAGCTCTTGTGTTTTAGCTGGGATCTATGGGGAGGGATGCATATTTCATAGTGTGATTCACTCTGGGCAGTGTTAAAGATAGAATTTAGCCGATAATTAGTAAGCATGCACTGCAAATTGTTGGCTAAAATCCAACATTGCAGGCAACTAGTTAGTAAAAGGAAATTGGTTTCTAAAAGATTATCTGTTGAGTAATTAATCTACTGTGTGGTTTCATCTGCACCATTTGTCAGTAGGAGCACATCTGAGTCTATTAGAGACCGTCAGCCTTCAGACAGTTCAGCCCAGTGGGGGAGACTTTCCAACACAGTGATTAGATTTTTATGCTAGTGGGTAATTTATAGTCAATTTCTGAAGCATTTTCTACAGCAAGGTTTTAGGAATAAAATTTTAAAATATAGAAGAAATTTTAGATGACTTTCCTGCAATATGCTAATGGATTCATTTAAACATTAAATATAAAGATATCCAGATATAATATGTTCCAAGCAAAGAATGAATAAATGTAAATTATCATAGCTTCTTGGATTTCTCAGTATAATTCTCTGTCCCCTACTATAGACAGTTTCTCTCAAACTACAGAACCTAGCATAGGGTAATATTAACCTTAATTTTATTTTTACTCAATATTTTATACATTCTGACAAATAAGATTGTAAATCACAATCCTCTCCCCCTTACATATAACCAATTGTTTCTACATAGGATTAAAACTAAAAGCTAAAATGTAGAGGCACTTTGGACTCTATACATGAATTATGATTGCTAAATATCACCATATATCCTCCCTTGTGTTCAGAGGTATTCAGAAAGTGGGCATTCATTCATGTTTGTTGGTCAACTGCATGAAAGAACAAGAGGCGTTAAATAGAATATTCTTTACCACAAAATAAGCCAGGGCTCTAGGTGTTGTAAGGCAGAGTCCATCTCATCCATTTTTAAAACAATAAAGACTGTTATTTGACCAGACAAAAAAGTAGGTGATTGGATAAATCAAATATTCCAGTCTACTGAGAAGTGTCATATATGGCATCCGTGAATTGCTGCCTTGCAAAAACTGGAAGATAATAAATGGGATTTAATATGAAAGCTAGGATTTGGTTTCCAAATTATCTTTGGAGTCTTGATAAAGCAGTATATTAGAGGTGTGTACAACTGGCCACCAATTGAAATTTAGCTGAGAGAACGTTAACTAAACCTGCTTACTACTAATAAAGAAAAGATGTCTAGTTTCTGTTTGGCCAGATTTTTTTGCCTGTAAAATGGAAATCACACTGTTGATGATACAGGCTTTTGTTCAGACTACCTATTTAGTAGAGCACTGGGATGGCTGAGTGGGAGAGGAAGTAGGGAGAGGCAAGTGGAGAACTGGTGTCACCCATTTGCTCATTTACCTAAACTGAGGAGGGCTGTGAGCACCAATCTGAACTTGTTCTCGGGCAGCTTCTGGTCTGTAGGAATTGCACCTCACCTGAAAGAGAAAAGCACCCTCTAAGTATGTTTCTATCCCAATTATACATTTACTACTGTCTTAACTGCTCCAAATTATACTGAAAAATAATTTCAGAATCAATGGATGACAAAAAGTTTTAGTAGATCAGATAAAACCTTCATCAGCAGTAACATCTATTAGTCTAATCCCCAGAGTAGAAGGTTTTATCAATGTGGATAATTCCACAATTGGAGTGAATTAGGAAGGTTTCCAGACAAGTGCTTTAAATTAACAGAGACTAGTATATGTGCCCAGAAATTGACCAATGTGCATTCATTCAATTATTTTAATGTTTGAAATAGCCCTTACCAAATTTAACCATATTCATTCGAATCAATAAACTGAATCAATCATCTGTTATTGAGTATGGTCGTGAGAAGTTAGTATTTTGTACCCTAGGTGCTTCACTTGCCTCACCCTAGTCTAGGCGTTGGATAGGAGTGTGCTCTCCCGTCTCGTTTGAAGGTAGACATGGCTGTTTGAGCTGCTCTGGCCAATGAAATGCAAGCAGAAATGATATCTGTCACTTCCTGGCAGAAGCTTTAAAAACCTGACAGAAGTTTTAAGAGCCTTAAGAGCAATTTAAGATGCAACAATAAAGACCAGTGTGCATTTCATCATCTCTCTTTTCTACTCCTATGGTGACCATGGAAGCACGTGTTGAGATAAAAGACTCCAACACCCAGGTCCTTGACTAATAACTATGAGCAGAGCCCCACAGCTGACCCGTGTTGGATATGGAGCACAAAAAAGAAATAACTTTTGTTGTGCTGTTTGTTTCTGCAGCATAACCTACTTAATCCTGACTTGAAGTATGTCTTGACATACAATGTAGGCTTAAAGTATGAATGGCTAGGATGCATAAATATGGGGAGAAGAACATCCCAAATGGGGGAAAAAATGGAAGCAAAGACACAGAGGCAGAAAAGAGTGAGACATGTTTCAGAAAAAAAAAGCAAGACATTCAGTTTAGCTGGAATGTGTGGTGCATAATGGGCAGCAATGGGAGACCAGGTGAGAGAGAGGATGCTGTCAAATTTCTGACGTTTTGAGCAACAGGCTAAAGTGTTTCAATCATAGATAAACACTGTTTTTTGAGCAGGAAAATGATACAATCTATATTTTCAAGAGATTTACCTGGCAGAGGCATATAGTAGAAGGAGGAAATTAGAGACTAGTTAAAAGATTATTTCTAGGCACAAGAGAGAGCTCAATAAATATCCACTGAATACATAGACATGGTGTCATGGATTGAATTGTGTCCCCCGGAAATATCTGTCAACTTGGCTAGGCCATGATTCCCAGTATTGTGTGATTGTCCACCATTTTGTCATCTGATGTGATTTTCCTATATACTGTAAATCCTACCTCTATGATGTTAATGAAGGAGGATTAGAGGCAGTTATGTTAATGAGGCAGGACTCAATCTACAAGATTAGGTTATGTTTTAAGTCAATCTCTTTTGAGACATAAAAGACAGAAGCAAGCAGAGAGACATGGGGACCTCATACCACCAAGAAACAAGAGCCAGGAGAATAGCATGTCCTTTGGACCCAGGGTCCCTGTGCTGAGAAGCTCCTAGACCAGGGGAAGATTGATGACAAGGACCTTCCTCCAGAGCTGACAGAAAGAGAAAGCCTTCCCCTGGAGCTGCCACCCTGAATTTGGACTTCTAGCCTACTAGACTATAAAAGAATAAATTTCTGTTAAAGCCATCCACTTGTGGGATTTCTATTACAGCAGCACTAGATAACTAAGACACAGAGGAATGGAGAGAAGTAGAAGGATGAGATGAATATCTGAGGAAAAAATTGGCAGACCACAGCAACTACAGGGATATTGGAAGCAGGAAAGGCCATATGATGCTATTGCTTTTGATGAAGATAAACAGAAGTCACCGTGGTTCTGAATTTGACACTGAAGATGTTTTTGTAATGTGATTCCTTAATTTCTGCAGAAACTAGCTAATGTGAAGTTGTTTCTGGCATTTGCTTTTACCTCGTTTCTTCTTATTTCTTCTCATAGTCTTTCATTATTATACAGTATTCTCTTTGCTTCATTTATCATTTAAGAGATTTCTGAAGACACATTATGGTTGTTACTGTTTTCCTACTATCTTCCCAGGAGGGAAAATAACTTTACTCCTTATAAGCAGACTTACTCCAACATGCAAAAGATTAAAAATCCTCCTCATTTTGTCAGTGGGAAAAGCTCCAGGATAAATTTCTCATTAGTGATATAAAATAGCTTTCAACTTTTTTCCCCCAAATCTCTTTAGTTTAAAATAAATCAGATATCGTTTGGTATTTTATTTGGAGACACTTCAAAATTATGACTGTAACATCACTATCAATTAGTTTCTTTCATCTACAAAGAGATATTGTGGACTAGGATGTAACTTAGAACTGATGGACCCTTGTACTTTGTCTGCTAGAGCAGGGGTTGGCAAACTTTTTTTGTAAAGGGACAGATAGTAAATACTTTAGGTTTTGCAAAAACAAAAACAGGCAGCAGATCATACTTGGCCCATGCACCTGAGTTTGCCAACACCTGCTCTAGAAAGTTCTAACTATTTTTGTGTGTTTATTTTAGATATCTGACCCACTATTGGCCCAGAAGAAAGTCTCCCTAATTTAATTTTGTTACTCTTACCTTTTTGAGCAATTCATCTAAAAATGTCAAGAATCTTAAATGCACCCAGTATTTTTGCTGGGTGGTATGGAGTTACATAAGTATAAGGATTCAGAAGATTAGATGTGGGGATAAAACTAAAAGTCTTGAAATTTTTTAGAACAATTAACTACTCAACTTCACGCTAATAAAGGTAAGTGTAGGAGTTGGAGATATTTATGAGGACTGGAGTGGTTGGGGAAGGGTTTGCAGAAGATGTGAAGGAAGATGGAGAAAAGATTGAATCATCTGGGGGGAGGAGGGCCAGATTACAGAAATAAAAGCAAAGCCAAAGAGACAGTAATGGACTAGCAGTGAGGAGATCTGCCTGGCTACAGTTGAGTCTTGTGGGGCTGTGGAAAACTAAAGATGGTTGGTAGAGTGGGTCAGATTGAGGAGCACTTTGAAAGTCAAAGGGAGGTGTTTGGCCTGGATGTGGTAGACACTTGGGAGCCACCGGAGTTCTCTCAGTAGGTTAGTGATGCAATAAAGTGTATTTCAATGGTATGTAAGATAGATAGTGATGGAAAGATGCTGAAGGCAGGAAAACTTGCCATAGGGCTGTTGAAATAATCCAAAGTGGAAGACATTAAGGCCTAGCCTATAGATGATGGGATGGGTAATGTGGAGGTTAAGTCTGGAAAGCATTTAAAAGGATGAAACATCTAGCTTTTGGGACAGGCCATAATAAGGATAGATAAATAAGAAAGAAAAAGAAACAGAAGGTATCCAGATTGAAAAAGAAGTAAAATTATCTCTATTCGTGGATGATATGATCCTATATAGAGAAAATCCCAGAGTCCACAAGAAAACTTCTAGAGATAATAGAGGAATTCAGCAAAGTTTCAGGGTACAAGGTCAAGAAACAAAAATCAGTTGGGTTTCTATACACCAGCAATGAGAAATCTGAAAGGGAAATTAGGGAAACAATTCCATTTACAATAACATCTAAAAGAATAAAATACCTAGGAATAAATCTAACCAGGAACATAAAGAATTTAGACAATGAAAACTATAAAACACTGCTGAAAGAGATTAAAGAAGACTTGTTTTTGTTGTTAGGTGCCGTCAAGTCAGTTCCAACTCATAGCAACCCTATGTACAACAGAACGAAACACTGCCCAGTCCTGCACCAACCTCACAATTGTTGCTATGTTTGAGCCCACTGTTGCAGCCGCTGTGTCAATCCATCTCATTGAGGGTCTTCCTCTTTTTCACTGATCCTCTACCAAGCTTGATGTCCTTCTCCAGGGACTGGTCCCTCCTGACAATATGTCCAAAGTTAGCGAAACAAAGTTTCACCATTCTCGCTTCCAAGGAGCTCTCTGGTTGTACTTCTTTCAAGACAAATTTGTTCATTCTTCTGGCAGTCCATGGTATATTCAATATTCTTTGCCAACACCACATTTCAAAGGCATCAGATCTTCTTTCAGTCTGCCTTATTCGTTGTCTAGCTTTTGCACACGTATAAGGTGATTGAAAATATCATGGCTTCAGTCAGGCGCACCTTAGTCCTCAAAGCGACACTTTTGCTTTTTAACATTTTAACACTGCAAGAGGTCTTTTGCAGTAGATTTGCTCAGTGCAATATGTCATTTGATTTCTCGACCACTGCTTCCATGGGCATTGATTGTGGATCCGAGTAAAATGAAATTCTTGACAACTTCAATATTTTCTCCATTTATCATGATATTGCTTATGGGTCCAGTTGTGAGGGTTTTTGTTTTCTTTATGTTGAGGTCTAATCCATACTGAAGGCTGTAGTCTTTGATCTTCATCAAAGGAAGAAAGAAGACTTAAATAAACAGAAAGATGGTCCATGTTCATGGATTGGGAGACTTCATATTGTTAAAATGTCAAAGATGTCAATACTACTCAGAGTGATCTATAGATTCAACGCAATCCTGATCAAAATTCAATAGCCTTCTTTACAGAAATAGAAAAACCAGAAAACCAATCCTCAATTTTATATGGAGTGCAAGAGGCCCTGAATAGCTAAAACAATGTTGAAAGAGAAGAACAAAGTAGGAAGACTCACACTTCCTGATTTTAAAACATACTATACAGCTACGGTTACGGTGCAGTAGTTAAGAGCTTGGCTGCTAACCAAAAGGTCAGCAGTTCAAATCCACCAGGTGGTCCTTGGAAACCCTATGGGACAGTTCTACTCTGTCCTATAGGGTTGCTATGAGTC